CCAGGACCTTCTCCCTGTCAGTCCCACCACCATCCAGGCCCTTCTCCCTGTCCCCTCCAGGACCTTCTCCCTGTCAGTCCCACCACCATCCAGGCCCTTCTCCCTGTCCCACCCAGGACCTTTCCCCTGCCCCACCCAGGCCGTTGTCCCTGTCCCACCCATCACCAGCAGGCCCCGTCCCCTCGCCCCGTACCGTGTCCACCCCTCCGGCCATCATCTCGGTGACGCTGGCGCGGATGTCGTCCAGGGGCAGCTTGTCGCGCAGGATGAGGTTGCCCAGGATGCCCATGTAGTCCTGGGTGCTCTTGCGCCGCAGCCGCAGGTCCCGGTACACGTTCTGGATGCACTTGTCCGCTGAGGGGACACGGGGACACCACCACGGGGACACCAAGGAGGGGACATCAGCGTCACCGCCCCGCAAGTGGCGTGGCGTGGCCCTGAAGGTGCCACGCCCTTCACTGTGTGGGGGAAACCTCCCCCGTGTGGGGAATGGATTTGCGGGAGATTTTTGTGTAAATGTGTCAATTTGGGGTTTGGAAATGTTGATTTGGGAAGGTGATGGAAGAGGATGGACAATGGGAGAAGCTGGGTTGGGTTTGGAAGGTGTTGGAAGAGGATGGACAATGGGAGAAGCTGGGCTGGAATGGGTTTGGAAGGCGATGGAAGAGGATGGAAATGGGAGAAGCTGGGTTGGGAATGGGTTTGGAAGGTGATGGAAGAGAATGGACAATGGGAGAGAGAAGTTGGGTTGGGAATGGGTTTGGAAGGTGATGGAAGAGGATGGACAATGGGAGAAGCTGGGCTGGGTTTCGAAGGTGTTGGAAGAAGATGGACAATGAGAGGAGCTGAGCTGGGAATGGGTTTGGAAGGCGATGGAAGAGGATGGACAATGAGAGAGAGAGAAGTTGGGTTTGAATGGGTTTGGAAGGTGATGGAAGAGGATGGAAATGGGAGAAGCTGGGCTGGAATGGGTTTGGAACGTGATGGAAGAGGATGGACAATGCGAGAGAGAAGTTGGGTTGGGAATGGGTTTGGAAGGTGATTGAAGAGGATGGACAATGAGAGAAGCTGGGCTGGGTTTGGAAGGTGATGGAAGAGGATGGACAATGGGAGAAGCTGGGCTGGGAATGGGTTTGGAAGGTGGTGGAAGAGGATGGACAATGGGAGAAGCTGGTCTGGGTTTGGAAGGTGATGGAAGAGGATGGACAATGGAGAAGCTGGGCTGGGTTTGGAAGGTGGTGGAAGAGGATGGACAATGGGAGAAGCTGGGCTGGGTTTGGAAGGGTTTTGAGGAAAGGATTGGGCCTTTTGGAGCAGCGGAGCCGCCGAGGACGGGTCCCAGGGGCTCTCTCAGGGTGGCTGCAGGTCCTCGCTGGGGGGTGTTCGTGGTGCCAGAAGGTGACAGGGAAGAAACACTCATGGTGTGCCCCGAGGTGGCAGCGTGATGTGTCCCCAGAGGTGTCCCCAGAGGTGGCAGGATGAGGTGACAGGGCGAGGTGGCAGGGTGAGGTGCTCCCAGAGATGTCCCCAGAGGTTGCCCACAGGTGATAGGGCGAGGTGGCAAGGTGAGGTGGCAAGATGAGCTGACAGGACGAGGTGTCCCCAGAGGTGTCACCAGAGGTGGAAGGGTGAGGTGGCAAGGTGAGGTGTCCCCAGAGGTGGAAGGGTGAGGTGGCAAGGTGAGGTGGCAGGGCAAGGTGTCCCCAGAGGTGCCCTCAGAGGTGTCCCCAGAGGTGGCAGGGTGAAGTGTCCCCAGAGGTGTCCCCAGAGGTGTCAGGGCGAGGTGTCTCTGACAGGGTGAGGTG